TCTCTCTCTCTCTCTCTCTCTCTCTCTCTATCACTTCGATGTCTGCGCAGGTTTTTCTTTTTTCTTACAATTTTTGTCATCTGGGCTTTCGTTTTCTTGGGAGATTTTGAATTATGTTTGGTGCTATGGATATATTGAACAAGAAGGCGAAGAGGGCTTCAGTTGGTTTTTGTCGATCTCAGATTGTCGGTGATGATGAATCAAAAGCCAAGCTCAAATATCAAAGTATTTTGAAACAACACTTGGAACTGCAAAAGGTTCGATTTTTTTCTGGTTCTCTTCTGTTTGGATTGGCTGACATTTTTTGTTTTTAATTAGAATGTTCAATTGTGAGTTGTCCAATCGTTTATACTTAATTTATAAGTCTAGTAAGTTACTCCTTCTTTTACCAATTGGTTTGAGATAGAACCCGACTTGGGCTTCATCTGGCTTTTCCTATCTTGATGCGCTTCACGTGCGTGGGACTGCACTCGTTTTAGCCTTCGTTTCTTACAGTTTTATTAGAAGTTATTCATGCTCAATTTGTTTTGGTGATGATGAAAGTGATTTTAATTAACTAAAAGTTATAAAGATGTGATTTTTTTTTCTTTCATTTAGGTATCACATCACTTTCAGTGCTTAGTTAATTTGGCATGTGGTCTGTTGTTGTCTTAGGAAATTGTTGCAAAGAAGAGAAAATTGCTGTCTGCCAAGCAAAAGAGATCAACAATTTTAGCTGAAGTTAGGTATTATTATTATTGTTTTTCTCAGGGAATATCTGAATTGTTTTCCTAAAAACAATCTCGAATTTCGGAGATGCTAACATATTGATTCCTCAGATTTTTGAGGCGAAGGCTTAAGAATTTTTCGAGCATTCAATTTCCGGAATCGGATACACAAAGCAACGCCTTACAGGGAGAAACGAATCACCATTCGTTTGAAATTGCACTAGAAAGCCACAATCAAGAACTGGTCCGGAATTCAAATGAGGTAATATAAACTAGTTTAAAGATAATAAAACTACATGTTTGTCATTTACCTTAATTGGTTTCTTCAGTTTTCTTCTTGTAATGTACTACAGAAAGATAAACAGGCAGAAGGAACTGTGGGAGTGCATAAGGACAGTGCTGGGTTTGCTAAAAGGCTAGAGAACTCCTTAACTGTCGATAGAGACATTGGCAAGCGAAAAACGGTTTGGCCTGATCGAGTCGGTTTAAGGTCTAACTCGGTGACATTACACTCATGAGGAATTTACAATATAAATACAGTCATTGTTGTTAGTATTGATAGTTGCAATTCGCGCCCAGTGCAAATGTATAGGATTCATGTTGGATAAGTTAAAACAAATTTTAAGCTTGTTGAAACTGTGCTTGGTATACATAAGTGTACAGTTTGTGTCGGTTTATGGTTCCCAGCTTCAGATGATGGAATTCTTGCGTTTTGCCGAGTGTTTCCAGCTTTAGTTTTTGAAGTTCTTGTTCTTTCTGGGTGAGTGTTTTTGTGTGACATACATAAGTGTACAGTTTGCGAAGGTTGTTGTGAGAAGGGGTAACGGTTAAACAGATCGACTCGTTAAATTCCGTAACTTTTCATTTTTGTATGTCTTTTTGAAATTTATATCCACTCTCAGTGGCCCTACTCAGTTGGTAACATCAACTTTGTTATTTGTTTTGCACTTTCTTCAAGTTGTGTTCCATGTATTCTATTTAGAAGCTGTAATAGAGAAATTGATTGCCTTTCAGATTTCTTTTAAACAGCAAAAAACACAAGAAGCCAGAGTGTGCCCCAGTCCAATTTTATCCATCAATTTTTACATGTTAGGGGGACATACAATCATTTGATGTTCAAATCTGTGTTGAAGCATCTGTACAAAACTCATACCGAAATCGAAAAAGGTCTCGAGACAACGAACGAAGAACACAAAAGGCAAAAGGAATAAGCCCTTTGTCTGTAATAGCCTCCAGCTCCAAACAAGTAGGGAATATTATCACATTTTACAGAGCAGTCATTGTGATTCGTTTTCTTCTGTTTTTGACTTGTCTGCACGAACTTCCTCGGAAGTTGATGAAGATACCTCACTTGAAGATGAAGCCGTCTGAGTGTGAGTGATTTTCTTAAATTGGACGAGTATCATGGTCATGTTGTCGCAGCCCTCGCCTCCGGCAGTAGAAGGTGCCAGACACCTATCGAGCACTTTTTCACACACGGCAGAAAGCTTCACTTCCTGCTCGACCAAATTTAGTAAGTGTTAAATAGGGATTTTATAGGAACAATAATTCCAATTATCTTTTGAAATAACAAATACCCCATCACACATTTCTATTTTACATATCGGGCATACTCAAGAGGTAATTTGTAAGAACAAGTAATTTATTATATCGAGCAGTTAACTTCAGGGGGTACTCTTTGTAATGTACCAAACTAATATTCCCACCATGTATCATATGGGATCTACCCAAACAAATAAACGATCAATTTCAATGATTTATTTAGCAAATACGCTTCCAAGAGTTTCGGAAACGAAAAATCATTTTCCCCTTAGAGTAAAGAGAAAATGTTATATGTTGTTCTGCAACACTTCCAATGTATCTAATGGAGGCAAAGTGCCGAAAAACGAAAGACGAGAGCAAAATGGCAAGAAAGAATCTTACAGATTTCAGCTGCTCACGTATGAAGTCTACTAACTGCTGGCTGGACATGCAATCCCTGAGAAGTGAAAACAGAGAACTACATGAGATAAGGCATATGAATTCTTTATATCCACATATCTATAGTTATATATGAAGTGAAAGTGGTCTATGAACAGATTGTCCAAATTTTCACGCCAAGTTGCATTTACGAAATAAGAAATTACTAGAATACTTTTTTAAACTTCAACAACTTTTGTGTTTTCAATCCATTTTTTTATGCGTAATGTATTAAATTGATCGTCTCTCTATAATAAACTTCAGTTTGACAACCTTCACGTATACATTAAAGACAAGTGTATTAATATTAGTCCATTTCAATTCTATTTAAAAAGAATGATTGTTATTTAGAAGGATATTAATCAATATAAAAGTCAAATTATATGAGGCAAAATTACAAGATTCATTATACTTGTATGATAATAGCCTATATCGTATACATTATAGATTTATAGCTGTTCATTTCTAACTCGGTTTTAAAATTTGACTGAGAATAGTAAGTACAAAGATCAAACTAATATAAACGCAATACTTACCATTAACAAACTTTTGATTTTGAAGATATTTTTTACATGTACAGCTTATATTATTTTTTCACGATTTCCATGCATATGCAAGGCCAGAGTATTAGTCACTATTCGATGACACTATTTAACAAGACTTACCTAAAACTAAATAAAGTATGAACAAAGAAACAAAAACTTAGATAGAGATGAAATTCGGACAAGAATGTTACATTATGTCAGATGTACACTTAGGTAAAGTAACCACATGCAAGTTCAAACCGACTGCAAATGTGAAAATAAAAACTAAATTATATCTAACAGTAGGTATAAACCATGACAAGGAAAGGAGCTGAGAGGTCAGAGTAATTAAACTCATAAGTGATCACACAAACTCATGGCTTCGCTATATTAAACAGAGAATTAGAGTGAAACAATTAAACAAACATTGCAAGATTAAAGCCTACTTGAAGCCGAACGAGATTATTATCAAACGGAGAAGCATTTTGTTACTTAAACGGGCCAGATTATATAACTGAACAACGAAATAAGAAGTTTGGATTGCATACCAAATGCCATCACAGGCAAGCACGATGAACTCATCATCATCGCAAAGTTCAACCTGGACCAAATTTTGAACAAACCTAATGTTTATTACACGGAATGAATACGAGTCTCTGTCCCAATGGTAAAATAAGCACGGCACGTACAATGTTTATATCTGGATTGGCTGTAACAATTTGCTTTTCAACGGGCAAAAACTTGTTCTGCTTGAATTCCATATCACCTGTAAAGACCAATTCCATGTCATAACTTGGTTTTCCACTTTGCTTTCAGAAATAAAATGTTTCAGATTCATCTTTACAATGTAGGGAGGGCATCAAACCATTAGCAAACTTTCAACAAACACACCTATAGCTCTTGCAAGATTCAAACTGCCATTTACACGACCAGCGTGAATGAAACCACCAGCTTTCAAAATTCTGTCTCGCTCAACCTCGAGGTCCGGTTTGTGGTCTCTTGAAAGATTGTATGCCTAGACAACATACATGTTCAACATTAGAACATTCAATAAAAAGTAAAAGTCATCAGTTTGTGTCCCACGCATTGCGCGCATGAAAACAGAATCAATTAATTACAGCCAAATATGAGTACATGTATTATACTACCTGGCCGTTTCTAGAAATTACACACCGAGAATCACCAGCATTTGCAACCACTAGTTGGTTTTCCCTGACAACAGCAACACAAGCAGTACAACCAGAAGTTGGTCCTGAAAAATCAGAATGCGGTCCCTGTACCAGATAGTTATTAAGTCAAACTGCGAGCTACAACCAAATTTTACAAGGGTATGGAAATCACAAGTCTCTCTTCACAATAAACAGCTAACCAAAGTTTACAAGGAAACAACAAATAAACATAATAATCAGTAAAGGGTGCATATTCATATTTCCATCATAAATATAAGGAATTCACATTTTCCTTTCATAATTTAATTCATTAAGTCATTGATAAACTGATTATTGTTTTAACTTTCCGGGATTTCCCGAAATCTCAAAGAATATACTCGAAGTCTAGTCATGGTATCCTTAAACTTCTAAACACTGTCAAATGATTCATAAATGCTATCACACATGCTCTCATATCTTGAAAAAAGGGAAGCAAGAAAAAATAAATTCATCTCCAAAGTTCAAAGGAAAATGTAAGTGAACATGTATTAACATATCAATATTGTTATTACAAAAAAGAATGAAACTTTAGTTTAAACTCATATAAACACCTCCTCAGATGCCCAATCATCAACTTGTTCATTTTTGTCCCCGCCTCTAGGGGACCATATGAGACCCTCGATCATGCCAGTAAACTTGTTTATTTTATCACCCAGAACAGCTAATTCCCTCCAGCCTCTCTGCCCACGCATCATCTCATCCATCCTGCACCAAGGACAAAAGTAACAGATTTAAGTTTCATATTCAGCAATTTCTTTGACATATGAAGAGTAACTAACGTCTGCCCATGGAAGCATATGTAAATATAACCAGGACATGAGCTTATGCTTACTCTTGCTTGTGGGCTTAGTTCCAAAAGAAACGGTTTCAAATTAGTAGTTTAGGTTGTATGTAGTTTTGAAAAATTTGAACTATTCTCTACAATCTTCAGATTTAGCTTAAGTACTACCAACGTCTAATTAAACCTTCACAAATCACAGAGTTCAAAATCAACATACGGACAAATGTTGAAGGTGAGAGTTACACCTATTCGTACAATTTCACGAGCTAGATTTTTTGTAATTCGACAAGCGTAACTAAATTTATGAAAGAAACCAGGAAGAAGTTATTCAGACAATAAAAACTTCAAAATTGACCTGAAAAAAGCTTTCTGAAGGGAAGTCCCTATATCACCAGTCATGTATGCTTCATGTTTGAGCACTTGCTGATGAAGATACTTAGCACAAAATTTGGCAACCACCTTTCCTGCAATGTCAGAGAAATGCCTTAAACGGGATTTTTAAGTGATTAATATCTGAAGTTATCAATATCAGGCACGGGACAGACTAAATGAGCGGCGTTATGAAACCAGTACGGTATCCTCAAGTAAAAGTTTGTCAGAGATTCTAGTTTGAAAGGGAAAGCTTATATTGAATTGTATAATACCAGAACTAAATCACATAACATACCACCATGACCATCATAAACGCCAAAGAATGATGTGGAAGTATCCAGATCGGGTATAGCTGCATGCTGAAAGAAGAACAATATAACAATTAATGCGAACTTCAAAGACAGTAAAAAGCACACCGATAGGCATGGCTTAACTAAACTGTTACTAAAATTTGTAATTTTAACTACAGCTAATTATGCAAATATGTGTTAGAAACAAGACAACTCTATCCATCTGAAATATGAAGACCCCCAAGATTCAATCCTAGAACGGAAATCATACTCAAGTCCCAAATAAATCCAAGTTTATATCAAAAACATGTAAACAGTAGGTAACCTTTTGGATAAAAGATCAAAATGAACCCTTGTATCAAGTGATTCTGCTACTTCATAAACCTTCTCAGTTATTTCAATAAAAAATTAAGTTTATTTATCAATTACGTAATAGCAGAACATCTATGGGACATAACCCAGATAGAGAATTGAAATCACAAAGTGATTTTCCTACTCAGATCAAATGTGCACACGTACATTTTCTTGACGAGCAGAAACCTGAACAACATGATTGTAGTGAAGGACAGCTCTCACAAGCTTATACCCACAGTGGCTTAAGTCAAACTTGTCTATTTAAGCTATATATGGAACCTCTTACAAACAAGTGTGTGGTAAATGCATCAAGTCATAAAAATTTAGATCAACTACTTACAGCATCTTCCATTGTAGCACGCCAACCTTGCATGGAAGAAAGACCAAATCTGAGCCTATTGTTTTCGCCATCTTCAGAGGATTTATCTGTTTTAGGAGTACTCAGGTATACACCCATATCAAACTGACATCAAGGAGCAGATGGTTAAGAAAAATAAACTAAAAGATATGAAGTAAACAGAACAGATGGTTACGAAAAATAAATAAATAAATTTGAACTAAACTAAAACTTTAAGCAGAACATCCATGAAAATGAAAGTTCTGTTGGAGTAAACACACAGAGAAGACAACTCATGCAACATATATCATAATTTAAACTCTCGTATCTGCAGAAGTGTCGAGCCCAGTTAATCAGTTCAATATCTCGAATACAGGTGACTATAACCAGACTGACAGTGTTACAAATCCATACACAGAAAATTTGCCTGTATGTTACAACTCCCTGAATCAAAGAAACCAAACCAGCTAACTTATCTGCTCATTACTTAATAGCCACACTCTCTGTTAACTATAAAACTATAAAGAATCAAAAGAAAAGGATACCAAACTTGGTCCAAATGTGTGATGTGACACCAGAATCAAGATAACTGCCAATCTTTTCTAACTACGATTACCCTCTTGCTTCTTGAATTAGTTGCTACACGCTGTACCAACAACCAAATCAATACTTAACTGTATTCGACCCAACGAACGAAGCGAAACGAAGTGAAGTCACTACAGTTACAAAATACAAGTGGCATCAACTATAGCTCATGAAACTAAAGAAAACTAGTTGCGAGCTCACTTGTAATGAAGATTCAGGAACAAAATAAAGGGTCAACAAGGATCAATCAAGAAAATGCAAAATTTGCAAACGTAAGTAACTTTCATCTACGGTTTACACAAAATCCAATAATATGAGAAAAATGGATCCAAAATCTGAAAAAGGGCTCATCTTACATGCCAACTACAGCAACCAAACAAGATTTATGAATCTCGACTTAGAGAGGCAGCAAATTAGCTTCTTAATATGCTACCGACATAAAAGAGACCCACATAAAAGTAAATTGTAAATCAGATAGTGCGCAGAATTAGGAACAACGAGCCCATAGTTTTGATGACAGAAACTGGACGCGATAATGAGAAAAAAAAATAATAAAAAATAAAGAAAAGATCTTTGCAAAGCGAGCGAATTTTCAAGAACTGTGCCCACCTTGATGCTGTGTAGGCCAGATTAAAAATCTGCAAGAACTCCTCGATTAAAGATTACGTTAATCTCACGAATATGAGATTCTAAAACTAAAATCTCACCAAAACTTAGACAGATTATGTGAAACTTTATGCTACTGTTCAAGGAGTCACAGGATTTTTATTTACTGTATTTTGTATCTGAAGACAGCAGCACACTCAGCAGGTCAAGTTCAATTATGGTTAATTCTACTATTTTTCC